ATTTTTTGAAAAAAAACATCTAAACACATCATAATATTTTCAAACGAAATCTTTAAAAGTTACACTTTTCGAGCTTCGTTGAGGAAGGCCTCATCTACTTGTCTAAAGCATTCAATAAACGTCCTCTTCAGCCCTTTTTCAAGTGAAGCCACATCCACACCTGAAACCATCAAAACAAACATAAGACTGGAACAGGTGTCTCAGTGGCAATGATAGTAAAGTACTAGAGAAGAAGAAGACTGTTAATCATAAAGTACAAGTCATAAAACCGGTGAACAAAACATTTCTCGCAAGACTTAAAGCGCTTGTAAACAATTTTGGGTGAAGTACAAAACTTCTTAAATAACCATACAAAATAATATCACAGTAAAAGCCTTACAAGCAGAAAGCTTTTCTTTCAGCTTCATTGGAAGATGTTCTTTTGTATAATCAGCCGCTTTACGACCAGCATGACCATCAAAAATCCCATACAATGCACATCTCTTGCTAAAACAAAGAAACTTCAACATCAGTCATCTAAGTGGAAAAATTCAGTACATGTCCACAGCAGGAAGTCCAAAGTTGTCGTCGAAAAAGTGAGCATCTTGCATTTCTTCTCGCTCTCCCTTTCTCCATCCACATACGCTAATCAAGGAACGATCCTTTGCTGCAATAAGCATATTCAGAAGCTGGCTACCACCTAGACAGCACCCATATCAAAAAAAAGTTTTTTCTATAAATGAAATAGACGTGAGCAGCTAAGCAGCAAAAAAACTGCTAAACGCCAGCACCAAACACATACCTACTAGGCAACAGAAACAGCAAATAAAAAAACTCTGAACAGTATCTGAAATACAAAGAACAATTTCTAAATTTTTATAACTACCTAAGAATGATCGTATCCAAACATAAATATCAAAGCCAAAAAAAGAAAATTCAAAAACCGCAACTCTAATACTATAAAAGAGTATAACTTCAATTTTATTAAATGCAGATGCAATAGGTCTTACTGATATGAATGAAAATACAATATTTCAAGTTAATTTCTCTCCACCATAAATTACTGAGATAAGTTATTTTTAGGTCTTAAGAATCAGGCTGAAACTTAAGAGCACTGTCAACTGCGAGTTTCATAAAAAATTCAGTAACTAACCACTAGCGCCAACTATAGAACTAGAAGTAATTACAATTTTTTGTAGACACCTAAGAAGAAAGTCTTACGGCAGTTTCAAAAAATTTGTATCAAGCAATTTTATAGGAACAAAACAGAATCCATATGAAAAAGATTTTTTTTCTTCTGATACACAATAAAAACGCGCCTTGAGATAGAATGAAGCAATCGTCCACCTACCGACACCGTCATTCTTTTGGTCCGCCGGTTCCTCTGACAAACTATTTCGTTTCTTTTTACCAAATAGACTATCAGTATCACTAGAGTCTTCTTTGCCTTCTGAAGAAATTCCAGACGAGTTTGAGTCAATGTCCAGATCTCCGTATAACGAAAACGAGGTATTAATAAATTTCCTTTTAGCGGCCATCTAGAAGCAAGAAAAGAAATTGAAAAAAAAACTTCAGTTAGAAAATAAACGACAATTACCTCCTTCCGATATAACTTCTATAAAAGAAAACTCTCGCTAAAAAGAACTTTAAAACGCACATATATCAATCAAAGTAAACATTCAGGAACAAAGCAAAAAGTGATTAAATTGGAAGAAAAAAACCATGCGGACTGAAAGAAGACTTTTCCACTTTTTTTCCCCCTACAAATAAATCCAATACGAAGAACTAGCAGAGCCTCTGGCGAGGCTTCTCATATACTGCAGGCTGGCGAATTGCCAACCCGAAAACTCTTAACTTGCACAACTGTTTGGATTATCTGAAAGTCTATGTGTATATAACCCTTGTCAACGGAAAACGAGAAAACCACAGGAGAACAGTGGTTAATACTGAATATGCTCAGAAAAAAAGCCTGAGACGTTGCGTCAAGTAACGTTTTTGATTTCTGCAATCATAATGCTTGGTCTATCACCTGCTTAACTTATCAATTTCCGAAGTTGTATAAAGCGTACTTGCATAACAAAACTTTGACTGAACTTTTTCACATCAACGGTAGTGTAGTGCTCAGAATCGTTTTCCAAATGCAGTCTCCAAAGAAAGAGAGTGAGGGAATCGATTAAGGACAATTCTAAAAGGCGCTTATCAAAACTGCATTTAAAACAACTCATCATCCATGATACTAACAAACTTCAACTACTGTAACCTTCCATTTCGTTAATTTACCTTTCGACACTCTTGGTTGTTCACAATAATCATCTAATGAAAAATCTAATTCATCCCGCTTCCTCTTTTCTGAGTATTCTATTTCGAGAAGAAACATGATACTTATGGCAAGTTAGCTTGCGAGGAGGTTAGAGAGGAGAGGGAAAATAAATTGCGAAATGAAACAAAAAAACAGCGAGTCCACTGTCAGCCACACAAACCTAAACGACGTATATACCGTACGGGAAAGTTACAAAAACTTTACGTTAATCCCATCCATCGCCATATGCACTGTGCAGTATCTGCCATTAAGTGAG